GGTAGTGTGAGAGCCTCTTACGTGTGCCCACAAGAAGACACTAGCGCCGGCGCCCACAGGGGGCCGTCTGGATGAAGAGGCTTTGCCCACCCTGCGACACAGGCATGGGCGAGCAGAATGGCCGATCTCGTACGAGCAGAGATCAGACGTGGCGCCGCGCGCCACGCACCTCTCTCCCCACTTGCACACACACGCACACATGGCATTGCTGTGCTGCTGCTGCTGCTGATGGGTATAGTACGGCCCTCCGCAGGCGCCGGCGCCGATGCGATCGCTCTCCTCCGGCAGGAGTGGGGCTGTCTCGTTGCGCCGTCGGCCGATCTGAGTCGAGAGGAACGAGAGCTGATGTTCTCCAACTTGGGAGAGAACGTGCGCCACAAGATAGCGGCGGATCCGCCGGCGGGCCGGAAGGCTGGCCGCGAACTTGGCACGCGAGGTGGCGGCGCGCGAGGCGGAGCAGGTGGAGGCCGCTCGGCGGCGGGCGATGTTGCAAGCGGAGGCGGAGGCGGAAGTGCAGGTGGCCGAAGCGCAAGTTGCGCTTGGGGCGAGGGCGGCGAGGCGGAGCGAGGGTCGGAGACGCGACGAGGAGAGGCCGGCGGCTGAAGCCGCGGCGGCGTTGGAGGAGGCCGCGGCTGTGGCGGCGGTAGCCCGGGCAGAGGAGAGGGCGGCGTTGGAGGAGGTCGTCAGAAGAGGAGGCGGCAGCGAAGCAGGCAGCGGAGGCGGCGCACGCTGCCGCGGTGGCCGCAGCCGCCGCTGCGGCCACCGCGGCAGCCAGGGTTCAAGAGGCGAGGGCGGCGGCGGCAGCGGCTGCTGGGGCAAGGGAGTCTGCTGACGCGCTGCACGCGAGATGCGTGGCTCAGGCGGCCCCGACAGTCGGGGGCGGCGAGAGCGACGGCGACGCGACGAAGGCTTTGCCCGAGAGGGCGACGAGCGCTCGGCCGGAGCCTTTGCCCGCACGCCTCCGGCGCGTCTGTGAGGTCCTTGGCTTGGAGCCGGGGCGCAACCTGGTGGCGACGGCCCGCAGCGCGGCGGAGGCGCTCGGCTTGGGCCTCTCGGGCAAGAGCCTGCCCGACCAGGTATTGGAGCTCGAGCGATGTCTGAGCTTGAGGTGATTAGCGGTGTGTTCTTTTGGAGTTCGAAATAAAATCTCTCGTTTTTGCTGTGCTCCTGGTGCGCTGGCGCGAAGATCGCGAGTAATCCAGCGCACACGCACAGTCGCCGATCGTCTAGCTGCAGCGCTTAGGCGGATCACCAAGGTGTCTGCACAAGACAACACTGGGTACGGGTTTCTACGCGACTGCGCCTGCCCCACCGCGCATTATCCAAACTAAGACGCGGACCCCCCCCCTCCCTCCTTCCCTCTGACCTTCCCGCCCGCGCTGGCGGCATCTCTTCTTTCGGCTTCTCCCCCCTTGGTCTCATCTCTTCCCCCCGCAATCTTCGTCTCTAGGACGGGCCCTTCCAACCTTTTACCCGCCCCCTTCCGTCTCG